GGTGTGTTCCTTTCACCACCACAGGCGAGCGCTCCGATGCCAGCCRCCGTCTCTTGCCCGTGGCTCGAGTTTTGGCAGCTCCTCTGGAGAAACACGGGGCTCTCCACGTGAGATGGGGCTTGGGCTGTCARAGCCGTGGAACCTGTGCCTTTGCTCCAGAAGCAGCTGGTGCTTGAAGCTGGGCAGGCACTGACAATCACCCTGGTGCAGGGGAACCTCCCCTGCAGCTCCCTGTGGGGCTGAGCCATGCCCTGACACCGGAGCTGCTGCTGTGTGGTTTGGGAAGCATCAGCTRAACCATTTCTGCCTGCAAAGCGCCTCATTCCCTTGTCCTGGGTCTATCCATGAGGCAACACCTGGACCACAACCYATGCCAGGCWGCAGGAGCTGGCAAGGAGCTGACAGACACGCCGGGGGAGACCAGAACACCACTCTAATCCCGGTGGCCTTTCCTCTCCTTCTCCTTATTTGTCTCTGAAGGGGATTTTCAAACCCTTCAAGATGGCCTCAAGTGGTTTCCAAGGCGACGGTGCTCGAGTCATCACTGCCATGGAAACCCTCTCTTTGGCATCATACAAATATTTCCCTTGAAGGAGGCTGGATGAGTGGGCGATGCACTATTTTCTAGCACTCCCTGGCTGCAACAGGACAATCTCCAGGAGATGGGAGGGAGCTTGGAAGGTTAAAATTAGCCTGCCATGCCCGGCTGGCCGTGGAAAGAGGTGATTGCTGATGTTTCAGCCCAGAACCTGGGGTTGTTTGTACCATCCAAATTAAAAGGATTTACTCTGTAGGGAGACAAAAACGAGGAAAAAAAAAAAAAAAAATGGGAGGGTGTTAATAAGGTTGAAAACTTGCACTTTTTTGCCCTTGTTCAAAGTTTTCCCAAGCCCACATTCTCTTGGGTCCGTGCAGGCAGATGGGGGTCTTGGAGCACCGCAGCCTCCCCTGGGAGCATGTGCAAGGCAGAGGTGTCCTGCTTTGCTGTGAATCGCCTCCTTTCTGTCTCATCAGCTCACCAGCACCTTCCCATGAGCCCAGGGGGAGTCTGAGTGCAGGCAACAGAACGGGAAACCCCAAAAGTCCCTCTTGTGCTGCGGTGTCCCCACACTGGGGGACAAAGCAGGGGGTTCTGCCATCGGCTCCAGCCCCGCAGCCCCTCCATCCCCTGCCCACGCAGGGTCCCCTGGCTGCCACCCTGGGCACGGCTCTGGAGAGGCTGCCGGCATTCCCAGTGTTAGGAAAATTAATCCACAAACACCAGAGGTTTATGTCCAAAAAGGAGACAGAGGAGTCCCGCAACTTTATTCATGAATAAAGGGAGAGGTCATGGGCATTTCCCATGAGGTSTCTCAAATTCATAGAGGATGCAGMCTCTTTTTATCCCAATTTCCCGGCCACAGTTCCCTCTCTCTTTCCCCATTGCTGAGGTACTTGAGAGGAGCAGGCTCCCCAAAACACCTGATGAAACCCCTTCTATCATACATTKCYYCCTTTCAATATACATCTCTGTATCTCTGCTCTTGTASTCTATTAAGGGATAMGTCTGGGATAAGTCAATCWGTGGAATTCCTATGGAAATCCTTCCCATTGTTTCCTTCTATCTCCCAGCWYCAGCTTTATCTTACCCCCAGAATCAGTCTAGCAAAGACACTAGCTTCTCATTCYTTTCACCAGCGCTCTGCAGGGCAGGGACACAGCTCTGGAGAGGCTGCCGRYATTCCCARYGYTCTGCAGRGCAGGGACACCCCGCCAGCCCCYGTCACCCCGCCATGCCAGCTCTCAGCCAGGATGGATCTCTGGGCTGCCACGGGAGCTCCCAGAGCGGCCGAGCCGGAGTTTTCATAAACAGAGCCGTCTGCCTCTCTCCATCGGCTGGGAGCGGGCAGAGGTGCCAGCGGCGCGGTGGGAGCCGGGCTGCCGTAAACACCTCCTGCCCCGAGCA